AGGATAAATATTTTGTATTATTTGCATTTCGTTATTTTTAAACAGAATCATAAACAATTAACAGCAACATAAAAGTAGAAGACTGACGATTGACAAGGCGTAGGTGTAGTTATGGCATTAATAGTGACGTATTAGGTGATCGAAAACCCGAAGCTATGTGTCGCGGTGTATAAATATTCGAATGGAAAGGACCTGTATGCGACATGTATGATGTTTATAGAGCGTCCTTTTGTTTTACTTAGCGGTTTTTAAAAACAGCAACCTAGTATAAGCGCTGTTCTGTTGAAAACAGGACAAAGAAATTTGGTGAAACGCTTTCTCTCTTTCAAAACACAAACAAAATGGATTATTTGTTTAACAGCTGAAATATATATATTAGTTGTTATAGGTATACCTCATGGATAATTTTCCGAGTTAAGCATTCGTTTGCAACACGCTGCTTAAATAGTAAACGCAAATTTAAATTTTTTTTTATTTCTACAAGTATTAAGTTACATGGGTTTCACGGCTTCAAAAAACAACTTTTATACCCTGAACAGGGTATATTAAGTTTGCCACGAAATTTGTAACACCCAGAAGGAAACGGCGGAAACCACATAAAGTAATATATAGGTAAATGATCACCGTGACGAGCTAAGCTGATTTAGCCATGTCCGTCTGTCTGTCCGTCCGTCTGTATATACGCGAACTAGTCCCGCAGTTTTTGAGATATCGATCTGAAATTTTGAACAAGTCTGTTTCTTACCAAGAAGCTGCTCATTTGTCGGAACGGCCGATATCGGACCACTATAGCATATAGCTGCCATACAAACTGAACAATCGGAATCAAGTGCTTGTATGGGAAACTCTGTCATTTGAAGAGGTATCTTCACGAAATTTGGCATGTATTATTATTTAAAGCATTAATCTAATCTCCGAAGAAATTGTATAGATCGGATGACTATAGCATATAGCTGCCATACAAATTGAACGTTCGGAATCAAGTTCTTGTAAGGGGCCTTTGTATTTGTGAAGGGTATTATAGCTTCTGCGCAACCGAAGTTAACGTTTCTTCTTGTTTTAAATTATCTTATAACATCTCTAGAATATTGTCCTAAATTCTCAAGTTGATACCAGTAATTGTTTTGGAGATACAGCTTTGAAAAGTTGCGCGCTTGAGGTCAGCTATATAGTCACTTAAAATTTTAAATGCGTTTTTCTAGAAACTGTGTTTTCCAAGTCGGTTGTCAAGATTTCACACGAACTACTCAACCGATCTTAATGAAATTTTACACATGTCTTTGAGATATAATTTACAAGGTCTTGTCGCGGAGGATTTACTTACAACAATTTAAAAAACTAAAAACGTCGAGAAATTTTCGCCAAAATTTGCATGTTTTTGTAAAAACGTCAAAGCAATTTTTACTCTTTTTTTTTTGTTTCTCATCCAAATACCTAGTTAATGGTCTTAGTTCAAACACGTAATTTTTTCTTCTTTACCTTTGATGATCCTGTGAGAAATTGACTATTGATCTGCTGTCAACGCGGAAACACCTTTTTTCCGAGGGACTGCCCGAAATGACGTGGTAATGGCCGAGTTTTGAATACTTTACTTTGAAAATTTCACAAAATCTTTATCAAATATGTAGCTTCGGAAATAAAAAGTTTGAATAAAATATTTAATTTTTTATATGAAAAAAAAAATTATTTAAAATAGGGCGGTTTTTGTTCGGCGAAACCCATGTAACCTCTTAACGGTACTGGCATTAAAATTGTAAAACAAAATAATAATTTGCAAATAAGCCTCCCGTATGTAATTTATTATATTATATGTGTAGGTATACGAAATGCAACAGCTACGCAGATTTCATTTGAGTATTTTTGCGGTTTGAATCACAATGGAAGTTCGCCTTGTGACTACTTATATACAAACATGTACCCATATATTAAGTTCAAGATATTTAGGGCTTCTAAAATTTTCACCATTTTCGAATCAGATTTTTTATGACAAAATAAAAATGTATATAAAAATAAGAATTAGTTCGACGGAAACGGTTTTAGCATCACAGATATTAATATATTATATAATTATTAAATGCATTTCAAAACTTAAGTGTGTGTGAGTGTAGTAGCGCTGGCGTGTGATTTATATGCAATGCTTATATAACTATGTGCAGGTTATTTGAAATAATTCAACAATTTATACGCAACATTTAAGGAGTTAGGACGCTAATTACAAGTGGTTACAAGGGATTAAGAGATGAGCACAAACTGCTGTGAGGGATGTGGTTTTCTAGCCCAGCTTTTCGAGTGAGGTTATTTACAGATAAACAGCAAAGTACAACCGTGGACTGTTCAACATTATTTACAAGTAAAAACGTAATATTTGAAATATGTATAAACGAATTGAGTGATAAAACTCGAGTTTTGTGTTACTTTCTATGCTCGCTCGTTTAAAATATTGACTGGGTTAAAAGTTTCCACGGAAGACATAAAGATAAAAATATACTCAAAAACAAAGTAAACGAAAAAACAATTTAATATAATACCGAAAAAAAGTAAAATCCAAAACTGGAGGAAAAATTTTTTTCAAATGTTTAGTGATTTTTAAAGCTGAGCATAAAACCGAAATCGAATTTTTAAATTTAATATTAAAGAGTTACATTGAAAATGTGTAAATAACATGCTGGACAAGTTAAAAAATTCGAACAGGCATTACAGCCTCGCCTAAACCGTACATACTCGTATGTATGTATGGAAGAAAAACTCGTCAAACATAAATAACTGTAAACTATTAAAACAAACAAAAAATGTGCAAGAAAACAATGAAACATAAAAAACACAAAAATAATATTAATCCTAACCTCGACACAGAAACGATCACCGGCACCGGTGCTGTAACTCGTCGCCGCAACATCGAGCGCCGCATACTCATCGTCATCGGGATACTCCACAATCGGCAATCCGCTTGGCGCTGGTGACGGTGGCATCTCAATTATCGGGCTGGTCATATCGCCGACCCCCAACTCGCCGCCCATCAATATCACCGGCGGCATGGCCAGCACTGGACGATGGTACATGTTGGCCATGCCACCACCCGCCGCATTTGCATTGCTATTATTATTGTTATTGTAGTTTTGTTGCTGTTGCTGTTGCGGTTGCTGTTGCGGCAGCTGGTTTCTGAAACTACTTTGACTAGTTTGGCGTGCTACATGCGGCACATGGTATTTACTGTTATTATTCGCCACCGCTGGATTAACGAAATGTGGCGCCACCGTTTGGCTATTGGCTTCGGGAGTTGTTGGCATTGAACCCTGCTGACGACCCTGAACACTAGCGCCTGGTGGTTGATACTGGTGCAACGGCATTGGATGCTGAGTGGGCAGTGGTGTATGATATGGCTGGAGTGTTTGCTGGGCGGCCGAGGCAATGTACTGCTGCTGTATGGGCTGTTGCTGGGGCTTCGGTTGCAGCGTTGGTGGTTGCTGCTGCGCATGATGTTGTTGTTGTTGTTGTCGATTGTATTGATGCACCGGCCGTTGCAGTGTATTGGGCTGTGAGTCCATTTGATTGAGGAAATCGAATTCACGCAATGCGCTCTGTAACTGTCGTCGGTTAACAAAAAAAAAGAAAACATATTCGCAAACACAAAAAATGACACAAAACTAGAATGCGTACGAAATGCATGAGGGGGCGGGGATCGCTAACGAAGAGACAATGGGGTGTTTTAGCTCTAACTTAAATTTACAGATTTATAAACGAAATATTTATGTAATAAACTAAAGTATATGGGTATATATGTACTTATGTAAGTATATATATTGCATTCAATAATATTCATAGATTTGATTTCAAAATAATATATTTACAAATATGTATTTATAAAGTAAATGAAAGTCGAAGCACTTAGCAATCATGGTTTAACTATTGATAATTGTATATGAAAACACCTTTCGTGTAGTGGTCTCAATCACATTTAATCTGAGCCTCCTTTGACAGTTAATTTTGAAAATATGGGACTTTCTGTGGCACCAAAACTATAATAACCTTCACAAAAGAAAGAGTTTTCACAGAAGAGCAGGATTTTTATCGGTCAGTTTGTATGACAGCTAAGTACATATATGCTGAAGTAGTCCGATCTGAATAATTAATTCGGAGTTTCTTGCGTTGCCTTGGACTATAATCTGTGCTGAATTCCGTCTTGTCAAATAAAAACATTTTCCATAAAAGGATTTGATTTGGATCGCTCAGTTTGAATGGGTATTCAAAAGTTTTAGAGACCCTTATCATTATCGAAGAAGCAACGAGTTAAGTTTAGAGTTTGGTATTTTTGATGGCTTCTGAAACACCAGCCTCAGTATTTGAGATAAATTTACAATAAATATACTATGAATGAAAATAAGTTGTCATCAGGCTTTATTTTAACTGAACCTACTATATACCGACTTACTCTATTTTAAAGGGCTTTTAGGCCTAAGCAAATCGTAAAAAAAATAAAGTAAATTTGCAACTAAATTTCTTATGAGGCCGCCAGGAGTGGCTGATAAGTTTCAACACTTGGGCCAAAGACCGCTCGTAGACACATTTTTGCCAAGAACCTTCCATAGTTTAACCATGATTACTAGTAGGTACTTGACGCAGTTGACATGAAAAATATGATCATGTATGAGGCATGCAACTAAGAGCTACCGCCAGCGTCTGTTAAACCGCCATTGTCCCTTTTTGAGTTCGAGTCTAACGTAAGATTTAGTATTGAATTTTATCTACAGTTCTCAAGTCAAAATTGCTCATTTAGTGCTAATTTCGAAATTAAAAACTTTTATAGAAAATACCTAAAATAAGTTTTTAGCCAAAAGTCTACATATTTATTTAATTTGAAGAAATGTATTAATATCGTTATAAATTTGTTCAATTTTGTTAAATGGTTAAAAAATAATAATTTTGCTTCAACAATATTCCAACACCGTTACATTTACTGATTTCAACACGTCTAGATATTTACAATAGCCTAATACAAGAGCAACAACAAACACCAATTCCACTTAAAACGGCAAAATATCACACAGTTACTCAATAAGCTAACATAACGGAACCGAGCAATATATAGCTGGCATACGAGTACTAAACAAAAATTACAAATTAATAACTACAACAGTAAACAAAATCCTGCTTGAAGTTTTGTTCATACAATTTTCGATGTTTTCTATGAGTAAAGCATTTGCTTTTGTTGTTGTTGTTTGCACATTATCACTTACCTCTGGATCGAGTTTAGGTGGCGCGGTTGCCGGAATGGGTGGCGGCTGCGTTTGCGTGGGTGTTGGCAATTTCGAAGTGGGTCTCGAGCCCATCGACAAGCCGCTGACAATTTCAGCAGTCGTCATTGAGCCATGCTTCCCGGCGATCTGCAAATGCAAATTATTGTTTTTCGTAGACAAATGATGTTGCTGCTGCTGCTGTTGCTGTTGCTGCTGCTGTTGTGTAGAAGACTGTGTAGTTTGTGAAGGCACTTCCGGTGGCAGCACTGCAATGCCCTGCATCGAAAGTGGTCGCATGCCACTCAGACCGCTCACTTCGGGATCAGGGCATTCGCCAGGTGTTTCGACGTGATCGTGCAGACCCGCTTCAGGATCATATTCCAAATTTCGTGCCTGCTGGCCGGGTGAATACGGTTCGGGTTCGGCATCGATGGTGCCGGACGATGGTGAGCGTGAAATGGGTGATTCGCTGTCGCGTGAATTGCCGCGCGTTGTGCCTTCGGTGGCGAGGTGCGAGCTGGAGGGTGTATTGCGCTTCAGCAAACGACCCCATGTGGCCACATTGATGTTCATTTGCTTGGCACGTGGTATATTCTTCACTTGTTGTTTATTGAATATCATACGCTGGCGACGCAACTTCGGTTTTTGCGATATCATCGGATTGAGGAATTTGATTTCGGCAAATAGCAGACCTTGCGGCTCCAATTGCAGTGCCATACCATGTCTCACATCGTCGATGAACTCTTCTAAACGCAAGAATTTTACAGCGCATAAGGAGCGCCAGTCGTGCCAGTAAACTCCGATTTCCAGTTCACGCGAGCGATCTAGATCGATGGAGAAGCGCTGATCCCAAGCCTGTTGCGAGCAGGGCTTCCAAGAAGTCTGCGCCACTGTTATATTATCTAGCTTTATGACAGCCATTATTTCAGACGATGTCTCATCCTTGACTGAATAACTTTTCGAACTGCTCCGGGACGTTACACCCTTAACGAAGCTGCGCAAATCTCCCGGACTGGAATTGTTATCTTTATCGCGTCGCGAACGTCCAGGCACGTCTTCGAGTAAATCTTGGCACCCCATCAGACGCACTTCCAGCTTACCGGATACGCTGGCGCAACGGCCGAGTGACGAGACCTGTTGGTATGGTTTTCCGCCCAAAAGACCGCCGTGAAAGGGTTGCAGAGATGTGTAAGTGACTGGAATTGGCGACGAAGCTTGCTGTACCGACTGCAGCTCCGATTTTAGTTGGTGTGCGGCCGGTGAATCCACGGGCAATTCCAGACGTCGCAAGTCAAGCGAATGCCTTAGGAGATCCAGCTTACGTGAAGACTCACTAAGACGTATGTTTGCCTGTTAGCAGAATACAGAATGCCAAATATTAATTATAAATCATATAATTTTTGAATAATATTTAGTTTAATAAGTAAACGAATAAATTATTGTTTTTGGATTGATTTACCTTACTATATTTTATACCACTTAAACCTAAAACCACGGAGGTAATATAATTAAAAATGCTAAACAAGACCTGGTTTGAAATTAGTGTAAATGAATTCACTTTAAAACAATAACTGTGAACAAACATTAATTATATTGAATACTTACCTAGCGAAACTTAGTCTGCCAATGGTGAAGAATTCACAGTATAGCGATCAAGAACATAATCATCAATTTTCAAACAAAATTATCGCTCTTCAGTGATGAAATCATCATTCCTGTACAGTACTCATTGGCAAGAATCTTCATGAAAACGGTATTTCGGATGGCCCCCAAAAAACCCGGTTCAGATAGTTATAATGTGCTCCAAAATTTTTGGAAAATCTACGAACATTCTGGATCTGCGAACTACTGAATACTTCCAAATAAAAAGTACAAAAGCTATTTTATATAAAGAATTTAGATTTTATTTGGTACTTTTACAATTCAGCTGGGAAATTGAGGAACATTTTGTTTAAACTTTAATAAGTCTCTCCATTTTCTTCTTAACATTTACACAAATATTAGTTTTACACGTAATTCACTTTAAGTTATAGGTACAAACAATCGGTACATAAATGAGTATTAAGTATTTCGGATTCTATGAAAGTTCATTTTGGTATGTATTGAGGTTGAAATGTGCTTGAAAACTGCTTAACCATTTTACGATTAATCAGCATTACATTGACACCTAATCGTTATGTTTTTTTTTAATCATTTATGTAACATAAATGCAATTTAATATTGGGTTTGAAGTTCCGTTAAGACTAAACCTTAATTAAATATATGGCAGTGAGCATTCATTCTTAATTTATGATATCCACTCCCTCAAGTGGGACGCCGCAGTATAGGACGCTCTCCCAAAGAGAAAGCACGTCCGCGTACCTGAAAACGTTCGGCAAGCCAACGCTGACAGCTCTCACAAGCACAACTCGGATTCTTTGTTGGTCCCACATGATGACCCGGCTTACGCGCTGCACTTACTACCGTTCCGAATTTCTTCGCCTTTAACAAGTGCTCTGGCGTGTAGCCAGAGTGGGTTGTAGACGCTTCGCTTATTGCAGAGCTTTCGTGTTTCATTTCGAAACGTCGCGCAATCATTGGCGACTGCTGGAATGTCGCCGCTGAAGATGTTGTTGGCGGAGCCTCACTGCCACTTCTTTGAAATGCTGGCGAAATTTGTCGTGACGTTAGCGGCGGTGATCCAGCACAGCTACTGTGATCTGCAGGCGACGAGGTGTCCTGTGTGGAGAGATTATCACGCGTCTCGCTTTTCCAACGCTGTAGGTAAGGTTGATAACCTGTGTACAGCAAATGGGCGTGCGGTGGTGATGTCACCTCGCGTGCAGTGTTTGGCGACTGGGACGAAACACGTGTTTGTTGTTGTAGATTCGGTGAGGTAGATGGGCCGAAAAACTGCAAAAACCCGGGACGATTGCGAGGAAAATGTGATGTTTGCTGCAGGTACGCAGGCGAAGAATGCAGGGTAGTGGTTGTTGCAGTTGCGCCAGGATATGTATAGTAAATGTCAGATGTTTCCGAAAACATTTCAGAATCGGAAGGCAAAGGGTCATAGCGTGTAAGGGGCGTCTTAAATGGTGAGTTCCGTTGTGAGCTAACTTCCGATATGGGTTGTAAGAAAGCTCCGTGCATATGACCACGTACTGGAGAGCCTGATAACATTTGACCTTGACCGCTTGGCTCATCCATAGAGGATGTGCGCGACCAGAAGCGTTCCATCTGCTTTATGCGCAACCGATCGGTGGTGTTTTCATATTCAAAACTGTCCGACTTCGCAAGTGAGTATATTTCTTCTTGGTCCTCAGTGTCCTTCCATGGGGAGTCTGGATATTCAGTTTGGGATGAGGTGACTACGCTCGAAGCAATGCTACTACACGTGGCGTCGCGCACCGTCGAACGCGATGAGTTGGGATAGTTTGAGCTGATGGCATCGTCACTGGGCTGACGCATATACTTTTGACGTAGCACTGCCAATTTGGCGGCACGTTGATCGCCAATGTGCTTTCGAAATAGTAATTGCTTGGATTCGGATACCTCTTCAGCAGTGCTGGACTTGGTTATGGCATGTCCAAGATCCAAGTCACCTGTGTTTTCCGTTTTCGGAACTTTCGTGGTTTGGGGATCGGCGCGTGTTGATGGTTGTTGTAAGCGACGTGGCAGGATTTGTCCCGTAATGCGCCTGTGCTTGAGCAACAGCTGTTCGTTGTCAAAAACGGTTTGTGGTGTGGAATTTGATTCCAAGTCATAACGTTTACTTGCATTCTCATCGTCTTCATTAGAGCTAGCGGATGCCTCGGCATCGGCATGATCGCCCTCATCTTCTCCTTCAGCTCCCTCCTCTTCCTCTTCTTCATCTTCAGATCCTGTGCAATAGACATCAATGTGTACCGTTCGCGGTTTCTTCAGTGGTTCACTTGAATTTGACTTTTGCTTGGAGGCAAGTGTTTGTTGTTGTTGCTCCTGTTGGGATCGTGTCTGTTCTGGCATTGTTGGTATACGCGGCATAGAGGCAGATTTGAATGTATGCGATGGGGATGTTAAAAACGAAGGCTAAAGAAAGCATACAGTTAGATATTTGTATAAAGATTTTTGGCATATTTTTGGAGAGAAGTTTGCCGTACATTCTTGTCTTTCTTAAAAATGGATGCTACTAGTATTTCAGATTATTTTTTTTAGCCAAATGCTGATAGAAAGGGATAAGTATTTGAAAAAAAAAATATATATATAATATATATATATTTAGTTAGCTTCATTTCGAGAAGTGTCTGAAGTAAAGGAATTTTTAAAGCTAATATTGTTGTTAAGGAAAGTCCAAGTGAAGTAAAAACGTCAATTAGTCCGTGCAAATTTCCAACCATCATCGAAGTGAACTTACCATAAATGAGTTTGCCTCGTCTACATAGGAATCACCGCCGCCAGAATGACCACTAGGAGATAGAAGTAAACCTTCTGTGGTGGCACGACGCTGTTCATATGACTTTCGTTCCTTCTGTTGATGCTGTCCTATTCGACGATCGATCGGACTACGGCTATTAGCATACCGGCGACGTTCGTATTCACGTTCACGCTCTTCAAAATATTTTGTCTCCGTATCGCTTGTCTGTGAGAAAGCGTCACGAAGGGCCAGTACTTTACCGATTGTGGTGAAATTCTTCGACCCAGTGGATATGGTAGAATCGATGGACTAATGTATACATAAAACAACAACAAATAAAATATAATTTACACGTATCGCTTTCTAAATATATACTGATGGTATCAAACAGAGTCGGCGGAGGACCAAAGAATTAATTAATGCTTAAAGACAATCAATGAGACACTTACACAGCGCTATTAGAACAGATTGTTAACTGCATGAACAGAATCAAATCGATTCATAAAAATCTATTGGATACATTTTGGCTTTTGTGCCAAAAGCGAATGAACTCCTAACGTGATTACAAAGTCATCATCGAATCAGCGAGCCATTTATTTCTTTGTTTGGCACTTTTGGCCGATGAGGGGAAGGGTAACAATAGCACTGCGAAAATTATAGGGGGGAAAAAAACCGAAAGAAGAGCCACAAAAACAAAGTCCAATAAACATTCATTGTCTTCAAGTGGCTGCTTGCACGCAATGAGCGAGTAATTAATTAGGCGAGGAGCGGTGTGGTAAGTGTCGATCAGAGGGAATGTGGGATTCGCTTAGACAACGTGGAGATTAAAATGGATTAAGCGCAAAATATACACTAACGGACGCATGTTGGTGCTGAAGCACAAAAACGGATGGATGAAAAAAACAGCCCGTTTGCCGCCCGCCCACTGCTTTGTTGAACCACTTTACTTAAATCCTCCGCTGCTTAAATATTTGGAAATCACGGAATACGTCAAAGTTTTTATGATTTCACAAGTTTACATATAGTTACATCCGCTCCGACTCTTTGGATGCCCTTGCTTGTTTTCTTATTTATTTCATTTAGTTTTTAATTAACTATTACCGCTTGAGGTAAAACAGTGTACGACGCCGTTGTATTGAATACAAACGGATCGGCTTCTTCTTCCGGTATAAAGTCTGTCGCTGATGCTTTGACATGTGTCGTCGCACCTCCTAATCCGCCCCCACTGCTCATCATGAAGTCTTTATTTGCCGTTGTTTGGGTGGATGTCACGCCATCACTAGTTTCATGATTTGTGGGTAGAAAATCTGCAACGGCTGAGACGACAATGTTGCACGTACTGCGGCAGCGCGTCCCGTAAATAGCGCCCATTGTATTCGGACCACTAGCGCTTGCGGTTGGAGTTTGCCGCTGGTAAGGTCGTTGACGTTGTTTAGAAGTATTCGAGCCGCTGAACGCCGAATCGCCTCCACCTGGGTCAGCATTGGTTGATGAGGTGGTCGAACGAAAACTTTCGTGCGCCTGTTGCTGCCAACGACGGGTGTGTTGTGTGGTCTATGAGTACAAAAGTTTCTATGTATTTGTGTATGTATGCACCGATATGCGATGTGGCTCACCTTTAGCGGTGTAGATTGACGTGATCCACGACTGGCAAATGAGTTTCGCTTGTGCAAAGTTGAAGACGAAGAATCGTCCAAGAGGTCAACGTCGGCGTCGTCATCAACGTCCGGCGGTAGTGGTGAGTCAAATGCAGACCATTTGTACACCACACGCACAGGATTTACTGGATCGTTTGAGCTAAATTCGCGCTGCACTTTTTCGCCGGCTCGAGCAAATGTTAGTTGCGCACGAACCGTCCACTCAGCGGTCAGCTCGTGCGGTTGCGGTGGCAGTACAGTCGCAGTAGGAGGGTTAGCGGCTTGCGGTCGCCGTTGATATTGTCGAGACGAGTCTTGCGTTTCACCACTTTGCGGCTTACCGTTGCTAGCTATTTCGGGTGGTGTTTTACCCGGCGGATCGCGATCACCGGTATCACTCATGATTGCTGGAGGAAAATCACAGGTGATCCACGGCTATCACACATTGGTATATTGAACTTTGTTCGATATTTAAGTCAGCATGTGACTTCAACTTTCACTCTTTTCAAATTTCGTTTGAATAACATTGAATCACGTTCACTCACGAATTTTGTCGTTGTTTCAAAGGTTTCTTAAAGCCGTTTCGGAAACACATTTATTCACATTCATAAAAGGATATACATACATATATAATAAATTTTTTTGATTTGAGATCCTAAAAATTGATTATCAAAATTATCATATACGATATTTACTAGTAAAACTAGTAAAACACCAAATAAAATAATTTATTTTTACTGGATGAAATATATTTCTTAACAGTTCTTAATTTTTACTAATCAACTCTGTTTGCTTTGAAGAGGTAATAATCTACTGCTGGTATGGTAGCGACTAAAAAGCTTTTGAAGCAAAAAACTACTTTTGGAAATCGATATTTTCCTTAAATCAAAAAATAAAACATGATTATGAAAAAGACAATGTAGAGGTGTTCTTAAGTTATCATTCCAGTACGAAACTACATGCATTATGGACTTATCGTTCATATTATCTGCGCGGCCTTTAAAGAATTTGGAATTAATTGCAAAGAAATCCAGCGAATTGAGACCATAAATGGATTTTTAAAGGCAAAGAAAAAAATAGCAGTGCAATATCGGACGGCTGTATGTGGTGTATACAAAACTATTGCATATCGAGAAGTTCTGTTGGATTTGTGGAGCAAAATATTGATTATCATAAGAAAATTATGATTATAATTTCACCCACACGACAGCTTTATTGTAGATGAGACTGGTCTCTTTTTACATGCAATTTGTGAGTAACTACAAGCAGCACGCATCCTAAATTACACTGAATATGTGCGTAAAATATTTGCCAACTACTTTTGTTTGTGCATCTATAATAATGCGTTTAAAAATACAAATTTATTTATTCTTTACACATTTTACAACGTCCGACAGCTAACACAAACGCACGCACAGCGTTCGCTGATGCCTTCGTGGTGCAAAAAACACTCTCGTTTTTAAATAATTTTCTTTTATAAATTTATCACAATTTAAGATTTTTATTTTTAAGTTTCCGACCGACACATTGTGACGCTGGCAAGCGAAATGGGCACACACATACTCTACACCTACATACGTACATATATATAAAAAAAGATCCGAAACATTTTTAATAGCTAGTATAGTCCACGAAAAACATCTTTTATGCGCAGTCAAGTCAACGGCATTGCATTTATGGCTCGCACAATTACATATTTACATTACAGGTGCAAATGCTTCGAATTCGCGGTGCAACGGATGGGCGGTAACAAGACTTTTGAGGTCGCGAACGAAAATAAATCGCCAACAACGCATGTAAATTTATAAAAACTGGCGTCTTTGCATATGATCGACCAAGAGCTTGAGCGTGTTCTATTAAATGACGATGCCACATCCTGTACAGACATACATAAATGTATTATATAAGAACGAAAGAACCCTTTCACACCTTGGAGAGCATTTCAGCGATATCTTCATATCGCCTAAATAATGCACATAACACAGCCGATTGCGCAACTTTGAATAAACTTTTTGCAAAATAATTAAGAGCACATATTAATGATAAATATCCGGGTTCAGCATGAGAGTTGATCACTTTTTCTTATATACACAGTAAATAAACACTCGATTATTCGCATTCATTTTGAATTAGCTGCCGGTAACGGTTACTAAGGCGTTTCAACATTAGCTTCATGTAGGTATGTGATGCTTGGTCCTCCTTTTTACTCAAAAGTTATGTATTGTTGTGTTGAGAATTTTTATTTAAATTTTACTTATATATATATAGTGGATGTTAAACAACAACATTACGCACAAAACGCATAAACACGCAAGACGGCGCACAGCACGGACATGAAAACGTTCTCAACAACACCACGGCACGAACACAACTAACAAGCCAACTGTCCGCTCGATCGACTTCACAAGCGAAACAACGTCAAACAGGCGGCTGGTTAGCGAAAAGCGCCGTGAAAATCTGTGTTTGTTAGAAATTTTCTTCTCATTTTCGTGAGATGTGAATAGGAAAATCGTATATGAGCGCCCATAAACATAGAAAAAAGGAAATACTTGTAGAGAGTTTAGCTTGTAGATCGTTAGTGAGATGGTGTTCTTCTAAGAGAAAAATATGAGCTAATACAAATTAAGATAATTGAAGTATCTCAATGCTAATATAAATACAAATTTTATTAAAATAATTGGATCTATTTAGAAACGCTCTCTTTATCCGGTAAATGCTTTATTTTGAAGATAATGTTGGAATATTTATATCATATCCTTTCCATTTAGCATCACAGTATCTTAGAAAAATTTCACCTTTGTTAAATGCTGATCTATAACGTTAAAAAAACTCCCAGGATGGTAACACTAGGCTTGTAAGCTTCCTCAATGTGGCTAGCGATCACGTTATGCCAAAAGACCTTCAATAGTAAAGAGCATACAGTTAGCTCTTAATAAAAGCTGAAGAATCCTGTTTTACATGTGTTTGGTAAGCAATAGAATTAAGTTTTCAGTAGGCTCATACTCTTTCAAACAGCTTTTCAGTATAATAAAATCTGTCAGTGAATGGCTATTTTGTTAAATGTTCGCTCGCTGAAACATTTACAAATAATAAAAACTTAGTATTAAAAGTATAGATAATAACCCAAAAACTACAGTACTTCTATCAGCTGGAAAACTACTTACTACACGTGCAACAAGGCTGTTGTGGCTACCCATTTCTTAAATCTTATTGATCGCACTATTTTTATCTGGTGCTTTCTTTGATTGTCTTCTCCAACATAATTACAGAAAGTGAATTTAAATTGTTGGACTAAGTACACAAGTTCACAAGTGCCCGCTTTATTACAATGCGTAGGTAATAAAACATAGAAGCCAGAAGTCTCGGCATCAAAGTACATCTTTTAGAGCTACTAACAGCTGGACTGCTGTGGATGGCACGACGAACTCAATGAGGCAATGAAAACTGCACAAAGCAGTATATTTTATGAAGAGATAGTAAATGTCTATATACTTGTAGAATTGTTACTTAAGCTTTATGAGCAAAATAAAATGGTTGCCTCATTATTCACACAAACAACAAATTGCTTGAAACACAAACTCATAAGTGCACTCACTTAATTATATACATGTAGGTCACTTGGTGCAGGCAAATGGATGTAGAGGGCGTGTAAACCGCCACCGCAATGTGGTCGATAGAACGGAGTTGAAAGAAAGCCTATAACAAATAACAAGCTAAACACAGTGGGTCATAATAATAAACACGACACGTAAAGTGCACGAACACATCTTCTTATATACAAACGCAAGCAATTAACTGTGTCACAACTGTTCTAGGTGTTACAAACCCCACACTGGCAATGTGAACGTGTAACGAAAGGTAAACACCTCACATCAAGCGGAATAGGAATCAATGAACGGTTTGCCAGATGCCATACATAGAAGCATATTAACGCATCTACATTTAATAAATAAATTAGCCCAGCTCTTGCAATTGATACTGCAACCGAGAGAAGGCAAATCAAATACGCTACACAAGCCAGCGGTTAGTTGGCATAGAGCTGTGTTTGTGTGTGCTCTCAGCCAGCTATCGAAATGGGAACCGTCATATCCCACAAAAAATTGTTCTTAGCATTAGTTCTGATTTTTGTCGAGGTTTACACTTGTCTATCAATTTTAATCCAGGTCTGGTTTATAATTGCAGAGATAGTTAGTAAATAACGAATACTATTTTAGCGATTTCCCAATCTGAAATCTTAACATGTTTTCTCATAAACAACTTTTGGAAAACTTAACTGTCCTGGAACTTTTGAAATTCTGTTCTGTTCTGTTTATTAAAGTTTTAGTTATCTGTCTATTAAATACCAAAACTACTTGATATTCTGCGCGATTATCTGTTGCATCGCAAGCGTAGCCAATTTGTCGTCATCTAATTAGAGTGTCATAGTCGAATTCAAGTGCCAAATATTTCATACCTCTACACATATTAAGTATATAGCCCATATATACACACCGCATAATCATTTTGAAGCTCCATATTTTTATTTAAAATGTTTTTCTTTCTTTACTCTACTACTACATTTTTCTTCTCATTTTTTAAAAGGCATCGTCAATTGGCCGAAATATAAATAGCATGGGGAAAAAAACCAAGATATACCGATATGTTGGAACACACACAAAGGCGTGTGCATAATTTATGCGTCTTCCTCAACGTAACAAATCCGCGAGATAAATAGCCAAGGTTCGTGTGCTGCAGCGGACGACATGGTCTACTCTCAATTGACGTGTAATTGTTGGCGATCGCACGAAAATATGCGCGATTAAAAATGGAGCAGAGCAATTAGCACAATTCTTGTTCGGTGCCACCAACAGAGAGTGAGTGAAATATAGATGTATTTGCACATGGAATTACTTTTACAAAAGACGCCGAAAATAATGAATCACACTCTCTTTAAAAGAACATCCCATTGCAAAGAGGAAAATAATGCGAAAATATAATTTTCTTAATTTTGGCAGAAAAATTCTAGAGTAACTATATGTTTATAGTTGTAGTTGTTAATTGTAAACAATAGGCGCAATAAATTTTCTTCAATAATTTAAGGTTTAAGCTTGAGCAATGCAAAATTCAAAAGTTTTGGAACTTTATAATAAAAGCACCTGCAATAAATCGAATTATTCAAACACGTGATAAAATTTACCACCGATCATAAACAATACTAAAATGTTAGGGTATATCCTATAACCAATCCAAAAACATCTCACATCAATAAAATATTTAGAAGAATACTAAGAAATTTAAGGCCCACTAACCTCTTGCAACGCCTTCTTATCGGGCACTTTGTTATTCTGTAGGGTACGTATCACATTCTTTGCTCCATCCACGACGGCGGCCTCGATGCGTAAGCGATGCCGCAACTCTTCGATGCGTTCCTCGAGCGTTGTCTCCAGCCGTTGCGGCTGCCCACCATTCTCCCCATCGCCGCTGGCCGCTATTGCTGCCTGTGCGGACAATTTGTGAGCATGTTCCTTATTCTGCTTTACTTTGAGGATGCGTAACCGCAAAAACTCAATTTTCGCCTTCGAATCGGCCAACATTTGTTGCGCCTCAGCCAAGAGCTTTTTGTCACGCCCATGATGGCCATTCGCCAATGACTGTATCATATTCTCAGCGCCATTCTTCACTTTCATTTCGATATTCAATTGCTTCTCGAGTGAGATGAGCATTTTGTCGTTCGTCGAAAGCTGTTCGTGACCACCACCAATAAGGCCGCCATTGCCACCGCCCAAGCTGCTGACGCTGCCGCCTAAAGTTGACGTTGGCGTGGATAAATTCGAGGAGTAGCCATCTGAAGGGAAATGCAAGAAGGATTATAGTTAAAAATAACTCCAACAAATTATAATCAAATGAAAAGTTCTTAGAGTTGCGTAAATGCATAAATGCTTTCTACAATAGCCCAGTAATAACTTGATATTGTACATTGTTTTTGGAAACAAAATCAATATATTAAAATTTCTTAGGCTTAAACAAGTACGGCTGAGTACTAAACATCATGATTTAGTTAACGCCTTAACTACCTGACTTATCTGATGACGTATCTTTAAAATCAATGTGGAGTTGACAGTTTGAGAAAGCTTCCCCCTGCGGGTAGGGGTAAAAATTTACCCGCGGTAAGGCATGCCTGTCGTAAAAGGCGACTAAAAGCCAAATGCACTATGACTGTTAATATATTTTTCCCAGAATTATTAGCATAGTAAATGATGTCAGAAATAGTGCTATAATACTCTGATTGAACTGATATTATAGACTTTAAATGAAATTCCAAATAAAAAGACATTTGAAGTTCAAGCGACAAATGTCACCAGTCATTGAGTAATGGGTTGCTCAACTGGCAGTAGTTTTGGCTACACAGTCTTACCGGAGACTTTCTGGTACCACGGGGAGCAGATAGCCCTTGGACTTCGATCCAATCTGCTCATTGGGTTATGGCCCCTTTGGGGAGATTCGTGGCGGCTGTGGTTGAAACCTAAATGCAGGAAGAACTGAAAATTCAGCCTAACTGTTTTTTCAGTTCTAAAAAGAAGTTGCAAAAAGCAACTGGGTTCCGTACTCGAAAAAGGAAGAGGTTTTAGGTCGGCCTCGAATCTTACCAAGATGGTAGTGTGGGCCCAGACACACTGCCACTGGAAACCAAATTAATACTTGCAAATAGCTCGTATTATTTGGGACGCTTATCAACGCATTGTATTGATACGTTGTGTTTTGGAGCACCGTGAGGTAAGGCCGTCGCCGGCAGGTACTCACGTAAATCAACAACGAAAGTTTGAGGAAGCTCTCCTGTTATGTTTTGGAACGAACTTTAAAGCTTATACCACAAACTGAAATATATTTAAATAATTAGTGCTCGATCTTCCGATTGCAGTTTTCAATTATTGTCAATTATTCGCCATGTTTCAGCGAAAAATATTGTGGATGACTGGAATATTTTTTAAAACATTCGAATCTGTAAAAATGTCTGTTACTTCTGATCAGTCTTTAGTCGAAATAATCCACAGACCGCACGTTTTAAGAGCAAATATGTTGCGCAAAGCCATTTTCGTGTTCACCGCTTGAAAGTTTTGTATCACAAAAGAATGACAAAACTTCCGTATTTGTGTGCGAGAATGTAAAAGCCATTACAATTACCAGTGCGCACATGTCGAGAATAGCAGAAGCGATGACGAAATATGAATTACATAATACCCGCATGCAAATACAACATTGCGCCGTGTTATGCAGTATTTCAGCCAACGATACGTCCAGTCCACCATTTCTTCAATTAATTTTTTATTCATACAAATCATGAATAGGCAGACACATATGTGAGGCCTTTTCACATCCGAGGTCACAGCAACAATGGACTATTTGAAATTATGCTTGGCCATTTGCCAACTGTTGCTCCAATTCATAAAAATTCCAATATGTGTACTTGGTTAGCCTTAAGCAGCAAAGAGTTCATTTTCATGAATGAGCAGCCAATGGCGCATTGTTGGTGTTTTATAGATTTGGAAAGTTTTACTTTCTGTGTTGCCTATAGTAAACGATATGTAAAGGATCCTTATTCCAGATTGACTTTTGAGCAGTTCGACGGATCAACTAAAAATATTTGTCTATTTTTTAATCGAAGGGTGAAACCATAAGGAATTTTTAAACCAATTTTTGTGGACTACGAAAAGATTATCAGTTGAAATTGAACCATGCCCACTCCTTTATAACCTTACTTAGTATTAAATTTTTACACTATTTTTATTAGTATTATCTAATTAGTTATCAATGTACGTACCTCTACCATTGCTCACGGAGTTGCCTTGCGTTAGAAGAATATGACTCTCCAATTCTTGCAACTCCGATTTTAACTCGGCTAATTTGCTATTGCTTTTCTTCACAATTGAAGCCACGTCGTTCAGAGAGCGTCGATCTTTGGCTACCTCGCGCAACTTCTCGGCACCCTCTTTAATTTTCAGCTCTTTGCGAATTTCACGCCGTATCGCCTCTTTGATTTCCTCGAGGCGGTTAGGCAATGCACTCTCGGGAAGATTATCGGTGAAGCCATATTTATGGCTGAGCTCGTAAAGGACGGGATGTTTGATGTAGTCACCCTAGAAGAGAAGAAAGAAAACAAAAGGTAGAATTAATTATTATTTTTAGTATAAAAAAATTATTACATGTTATTTTAACTATGCAGTAATGTGTGTGTTTTAATAAATATAACGTTTAAATGTTAGTAACTGAATTAAAAATAGTTATATTGCTATAACTGCAAAAGAAATATAATATTTGGAAAAAACCATAATGCAGGTGCATAAAAAAAATAGGCAGAATACTAGTTTCCACAAATTTAAATGTTCTGTTCCAGAGAAAGCTCTTTCTGGTTGCAAATCTCAATTTAACAAGCTGAATTCCCTTGCGTTTGATCTGCTTTAAAAATATTGAAAACTTCAATGAAAACTCGCACGTGATCGACGGAAAGAGTAATGCTTTGGTGCAAACGTTGTTGCTATGGCAATATCGCCAAATTTTTTCTTGAAAAGTAAAACGGATTTTTATGGCTCGGAATGTAAGGCATGAACTTGAATATTTTTGATTTCATCAATAGTATAATGTTATACTTCAATATATGAAGTTAATTAACTGGCGTCTTTTGGGCTAGATTTAAAAATTCCAATTATTCATGATTAGGCGTTTCTGCTTCAAGAACTATAGTTATTTGTTGGTATTGTAATACCAATTTTCATAATGAAAACACTTTTCGACACTTAAGCAATGACGCTCCAAAGGCATATAACCAACAAGCCCTTCAAGATATAGACACGGACACTATAACCCAAGCCTTAGGGAGTGTGTTTTCGGAATGCACTCTAGCAGAATATTAAACACATTCAATAAGACGATGTTAACCTAACCAAAACCTACAAATTGGTGATCAAAAAAATTATATATTCGGCCACTTCAACCAACTGAATAAACCATTTATAATCGAAAGTTCGACGATCTATTAAACAATGTTTTTTAAACGATTCATTTCGTGAATTTATTTCATTCGGAAAAGATAAATTATATTTTACACAAACATATAAATAGCTTAAGAAATTATTTCTTATGAAATTCATACGGGCATGTGAATATTATATTATGTTATGTATATAAGTATATGTAAACGCATAAAAATATTTTTAAAGACGATCGATCAGACACAGACACAGCGTTAGGCGAAGGTGTACACGTAATTGCAGAGGCACTTGAACCATATACAGCAAAACGGTAACATGCACTTGGCATTAATAACAAACGTAAACACACACAAAAACACATATACCACCGCTTGTATACGTACAAGCTAATGTAATTCCAGCACGATGAAGTTAATAAAACGAAAATGGAAATAAATGCAATAAAAAACAAATACAATAGTTAAACACACACATACATAAATACATATAAAGAATATGTGCTCATGGGAGTATAGGTATATTGATGTGCTTATAAATGTTTGCAAATGGTCAGAAAAGCTGGCGGTGGAATGAATAGCAGGCGAATGTACGTAAAACCTTTGCCAAACGCACGACGGTGTAATGAGCAACATCAACAACAACAAAAACGGTGGAATAATTGAATTGATTTTCACGGCCAAGAAATACTTCACAATAAATTAACATTAAAACAAAATATGTAATGAAAACGCACAAACAGAAACGACACATTGCTGAACCAACAATAAACACACACAAGTGCAACGAAGCCAAATATGCCGCTTTATGCGATTTAGTTTCACTTCAAAGGCTTCCAACGCCTTGAATACACTTATTCACTATATTTTGTATGTTTTTGCAATGAGTGCGTTGGGTGAAGAAGAAAATGTCACCTCACAGCAGCACCTCATACCACAGATATACCACAATACAAGAAGGCTTATACCAACGAATAAAAATTGTCTAGAAATATGTCTTTACCTCGTCACTGTAAAATACCGAGGAAGCGTGCGTGCTGACCGTGACGCAAATGGTGCCGCGACGCAGCGACTTCAGCGATCCTTTGGACACTTTGCGCACGCGTATGCACTTGAGCGATTTCGAACGTTGCAGCTCCATGGACGGCGCCGTGTATGGTGGCTCAGGAGTGGCGGGTGGAGTGGAGCGCGGTGTATTCGATGCCGACGTCGCCGACGGTCCATGCAGACTGAGGTGGGCCTTGACGCGCAGAAAGAAAGCATGCATGTGGCAGAATTTTGAGTTTAATGTACGTATATATGTGCTGCCTATGCTGAGTTACTCCGAAAATCGGCCGCCGGTATGTGTTGCTGCAATTATTGGTGAGTGACGAATTTTAGCGATTATTTTCTTTTGTTTTTGAGTTTTCAAGTTGTCGGTGTTTTACAATTTTTAAATCTTTATAAATTTTACACAATTTATTTGAGATATTTGTACTATAAATTAACGAGATAATTTTCTGTTAACTCCCACGGCATTAGTTCGGCCAAAGGGCACACTTTCACTGTGCCAAAGCAGCGGGTCGATGTGGAAGCTTTTAAAACAAAAAATAAGCAACGAGGAAATTGTCGAAAAATAATGGTTTTATCGGCAGAAAACTGGAAGATTTTTCCTGTGAAATTTAACCGTGCCTAATACGGTTTCTTATCAACAACAACACAATGCGTTTAATTGTTAAAAACTGCTTGCGAATACATGTGCATATTACCTATTTGTGTGGTTAAGAAAATCTTGCTTGACGTGAATAAGCTATAACAATCACATGAAGAGGAAGCGAGTCGAAACAATGCTCATTAATCAACAGCAAAAATTGCCACTGAAAGCAACATCTTCTGCTTCTTTAATGTTTTTCTGTTTTTGTTTTTGTTTCCTTTACAAAGCTACAATAATATTGCTAGTAAATATACACTAAACGACAAAGCGAAGGTTTCGATCTAAAAAATTAATTCAAGCGCCTAAGTTGTCATGAATTTTTTTTTTTCTGATTATGGTTAATATACTAAATTCTGAGATGCGGTTAAATATATAGTGCAAGGAATTCGCCCTTAAAAAATATATAAGCTTAACTCTTAAACTTTTTGCTAACAGACCACGAAAATATCGTCCGAAATTACGAAAAAAATCTTGGTAAATTAGGCTCTTAATTAATTAAAATTATTATTATTTTTAATCCCGATGTTTGGGAAAAAAATTTGAAATTTTAATTTTTTATTTTGAATGAAGTACGCAAAGCGACAAAATTATTATTATTATTAATTTTTTTTAATCCGGAAGATGGAATTAAAAATTGATTTATTACTTTTTAATCCGGTTTTTGGGATCACACTTTTTTTTAATCCCTGATCTGACTAAATTATCTTTTTAATGCATTATTTGCAACCCTGCTAAACACTCAACTGTCAACGGAGATACAAGTAGGTTCTCATTATAGTACTTATAAATAAGATTAAGAAGTTTGTACTTAGAATTAACTAAAGACAGCTCAGTTACCTTAGTATCAAAAAACACTTAATTTTGCAGATAAAAACTGGGTGGTGAACTTCCAATTATCACTTAGTGTACTGTGGGGATTTGCTAAGCACGTTTGTATACTTCTCTTTTTTGTTTTGCTATTTCTGTTGCTTTCTTTAGTTCCTATACTTTAATGAGTTTGTTGTACTCCGCAATGCTGCTTTTTGTTACTATTTGTAACATTAATTCGAACTTATGTACCCAAGTATAATATACATACTCGTATATACAAGAATATTAGGATGCGCGGATCTTTAGTTTGCAATTGAAGAAATACCCAGAACAGGGTATATTAAGTTTGCCACGAAGTTTGTAATAACCAGAAGGAAGCGTCGAAGACTATAAAATACCATTTATGGAAATGATAAACATGACGACCTGAATCAACTTAACAATGTCCGTCTGTCTGTCTGTATGTATGTGTATACGCGAAGTAGTTTCTCAATTTTTGAGATATCGATGGAATTTTGCACACGTCCTCTTCTCCACTAGAAGCTGCTCATTTGTCTGAACCGCCGATATCGGACCCCTATAGCATACAGCTGCTATATAAACTGAACGATAAAAATCGAGATAAAAGATTTTTTTTCCTTATTAAGCGACCTTAATTCGACTTGCAAGGTTGTTTTTATCAAACAACGGGAACAAGTTACGTGCTCAGTTTTAGGTTTTAAATTATTATTTTTTTTCCTATTAAAATCTGGAGTTCTTCAAAAATGGTAGGTGGTGTCTTTGTTGACATACGAGTTGATACCGCACTCTAATACAGGGCGCATCTAGGAAATTATCGCTAACTCAGTCAAGCATCACGTTTGCCAACATCCTACCTTAGTGACAATAAATAATTTACAGTGTTACAAATATACAGCATCGTTCACAAAATTGGAAGTTTTTAAACAGCAAATAAATATATATATAAAAGGTAAACATTATTACATTCTACATTTTTATGATTGAAAATGTGAAAGAACAATTATAATCTTACGTTACACGTTACCTAAGCTTTTCCAGGTAAATACTTGTAAAATTAATTTTATCGTGAATCACAATAAATACAAATGCATAATTATTTCATTTATTTGTCAACCGTTTCCAAACAGAAGGCCAAAGCTGTACTTCATAAAATAAAAGACAATTTGTGTCTTATTTTGTATTAAAGTGTGGAAATTTTTTCCACAGTCATTTATGCAAATATGTAAGCACACATGTAAATTGCAAGTACTTTAACTGAAGTAAACAATGGGTTCAAATTAAAATATTGTTGAGAAGTAGAAATAAAATATGCATACTCCTATGAAGAAGTAAACGAATGCAAGAACAAACGAAGCGACGAGGTAATGAATGCAAGATTAAGTGTGTTTCAGCCACAAACACTTCTCGAGACATATGAATACTTACTCAGAAGCCTAACAGTAAATAATGGAAATGGAAATCTGCGCGTGGTAGCAATGCGAAATACTTCTACTTACACAATTAGCAAGCAGATAGACCGAATTGTAAGTGAAACTCTCACTGAAACAAGACAGTGCATTCATTAAATAAGCTTCCTTGCACTCTACTCAAGTTGAACTGGTGTAGTGTACCATGAAACAGGTGTCAGG